GTGTTCCACGTGCGCTAAAAAGTGCCCTCCCCCCCTCCTGAGCACCTGCCCCCCAAAATGTCTGTGCACGCCTCTGGGTCACGTAATCTAGAAGGGTTGTAATATCAGGTGTATTCATTTACAGGAATCTTTGAATTGTCTGTGTGTGTTTGGTTATTAGACTCGCAGCCATGATGTCTGAACAAAGAAAGAGACATAATAGACTTGTTTAAAAGTCAAGGTGTGAGTTGCATTCATAGAACTTTGCAACAGCCCTCCTAAAACACCTTCACTGCATCCATAAGATCCTCCTCTGCATTTTAAAGCTCTTAATAACCTTGTCAAATCTATTTGTTTTATTAAAAATGCTGATAAATAATAAGTCTTATTGTTAAATACTGTTATCATCAAAAAAGGGAAAAAAAGAAAGAAAAAGAAATGTGATTTTATATATCCAAGCTGATAGTTATTGTAAAACTATGTGTTTTTAATCTACATGGATTGCTGAACCCCAAATTGTCCAATTGTCCAAGTCATGCATCCATAGATTTAATCAGGAAAGGAAGAGCAGAGATGAAGGAGAAATCAGAGGTAATAAACAGAAGATCTACTAGAAAACAAATTGAAGACACTAGATATAGAAAATGCAGCACGTTAACGCTGATAACGTCCCATCACTAATAAAAGGCCCGCTTTCCCCAGGCCTTCTGCTGCCCATCAGCACTCAGAATGGGAGTCACGTTATCCAACCTTCTTGTTGCTTAACTCAGTGCTTCACTTTTTGTCGATTCTTGTTCACCAGGAGCTGGACAAAATTAAATGGAACTTCTGTACAGTTCTTCATGCATTTGAAATACAAAAACCTTTCTGATTCACTGCATCCTGCAGTAGGACAGACTGTCGATGGTTAACTGTAGGGTTGTTGAGGATTCCTCCCTCACAGAGCAGCAGCCTTTGGATGCTTTAATGCTACATTCAGGCCGCAGGCAGCAGAAGCTGCTGGTTTACATGCAAAGTCAATGGTTGACGCGCATCATGGCGCAGCAAAAGATCCCTAGTGCGTCTGAGAAGCAGCGACTCATGAACTTCTGAGGCGCTTCACAAGCAGCAGCTTCTGGAGGTGGAAACACTGAGCTTTACCTGCTGGACGAGGCGCCACATCAACCAATGAGAGAAGCTGATCTGGGAGCTGGCAGGGAGACAGACACAGCACTGCTGATGCAGAGCGCTATGATCCCTCCTCTGAAACTGTTAATTTACAACTAAATTAGCGGTATAGTGGAGGATTTTCGCGAATTTTTGAAAAACGTTAAAAAAAAAATGCACATGCTCAACCCTGTACCCGCTCCTGAGAGGGAACGTCTATTAAACATATGGGGAAAGAAGATTGCAATTTTTCCACTATGTCAGACTCACCATCAGTAAGTGAAAATGAGGACGAGGACAAAGGAGGGCGTTACGCAAACATATCACCAGAATGATTGACAGTTAGTAGGAGCACCTATTTTGATGATCTACTCAGAAGAAGAACATCCTCCACTATACCTTTAACTTAAATGTAGAAACCTGCCAGCAGAATATGTTCGCTTTTATTATCCTGCTGCCTGCAGTTTGTAGCACAGACCTGAAAAACGCCAACATCTACTTCCAGCCGACACCAACAGTAGGAGAAAACCCCCAAGAGGTGAGCGGGCCTGAGGCAGCTGCTGCTGGGGATTCCCAGGGACAGCGCACCGCTGGTATGTGGGGGTCTGAGCGGCTCCCACAGAGAAATAATCTTTGAAGGCAGGATGGTAATCTGGATGAACTGACTGCACAGATCATGTTTTCAGGAGGACTTTCTCACTTCAACATAGAATCAAACTACTTTTTACCCGCTGATCACAGCTAATATAGCTGCCATTGTTCCAGGAAAAGAAAGGATAGGGTAGCAGCACACGAGTTAAGCCTGAATGCAGCATAATGATGTCGATATTATCTGTTTTATTTATGTCTCCGCATTAGCAGCTAACGGAGTGTCTTTGTTTCCAGGGCCAGAAGCTGAAGGAGACTCTTCTGCCATCTCTGAACCTGCTGACGGAGAGTTCCCGCATCCATCGAGAGACCAGGAAATTCCTCAGGTCAAAAGTCCGTGCGGCGCCGAGCCACAGCTCTGACCAATCAGCATGTTTGCTTTTGATGGCTGGGGAATTTCTTCTGCTTTTGTCTTAAGGTGCTGCCACCCCTTCGCGACGTGAAAAACAGACCAGAGGTGGGAAATGCTCTGAGGAACAAATTAGTCCGTCTCATGACGCACATCGACACCGATGTCAAGAACTGTGCCGCTGAATTCCTCTTTGTGCTCTGCAAAGAAAGCGGTGAGAGAAATATCTGTTCACTGCCAAGGTTTATAGATACGTTAAACAAACATGACAAAAAAAAAAAAAGATTTTAAAGGAGAAGGTAGGTGGCAGAAACATTAAGTATGTTATCATTTATTATTTAAAGTACTTTCAGAAGTTGGTTTGTTTTTAGATAAAGGCCATCCTGGAGAACGGCACTCCACCAAGTAACATATAAAAAAAAAAAAATTAAATTATTATTTGAGATTCTAAAACGGTCTACAGTACAGTATCTATTTACTGTAAAAGTATTGTTACTTCAGGACAGTATCACTTAAATGCAACTCAAAAATGAGTTCAGATACCTCAGAAAATCAAAACAGGATTATTTGCTGCACTTAATCTTGGATTGGGTCGCTTCCCTTCACCAGCTGCAGACTTTGCGTCTCCTGTCTGGAGAATATTAGGCCAAAGAATCACGTCTCTTTTATCAGACCAACCAGTCTAACCTCAGATTTCTTTGTCTAGTTTCACGGTTCATCAAGTACACTGGATACGGTAACGCTGCTGGTCTGCTGGCTGCCAGGGGTCTGCTCAGAGGGAGCAGAGACTCGGGGATCTACTCTGAAGATGAAGACTCTGAGACCGAAGAGTACAGAGAGGCCAAACCCCAGTCAGTAACTCTAACACTGTACAACAGCACAAAATTCAATATAAATATAAATAATAATGAGAGAAACAGAAAGGTAGAAGTAATAATGATCAGAGTAGGTCAGATTTATTTAAATGACAATTTATATTTACATAGGGAGGAAAAATAATGATAAATCTGGGTCAATTAGAACAGAAGCGTACTGATGACATCACCACATTTAAAGCTTGTCTGGAGCTACATTTCACTTCCTGTTACTAATAGTCTCTAGATAATAGTCTAGAGAGTACCAGTTCATCAGTAGCGCTCGGCGTG